CCAACTCTCTGATGCATAACAAGTGATTGCGAAGACCATGGCCTGTATCAGACGCACCTTAGTCTCCAGAGAGACACCATTGCTCCTCAGTACTTTGGAGAGGTCCCTAACAGCAGACTATAAAAACAAGAATACAAATTTAAAATGGAATCCATTTCCCTTCCCCCCAGTACTTACTGCTTTTAAATAGAAACAGTTGGGATATTTTTTTGCTTAGTGCTGTACCTATTATTGCAATATTTTTTACAATTGCAAAAGATGTTACTACTTTGACATTTGTTTTTAAAAAGCTGTCGATATTCAACCAGCATGCCTTGGACTTTATTGTGGAAAGACCCTAATATTTAAAAATGCCTCAACTGAACTCTATGGAGAATGTGGGGTAAGTCTTACAGTTACTTTATTTCATTTTTTAAAATGTTTGCTTTTGAAAATTTTCATATATATAGTATCCTTTTCTTAAAAAACATAACTTCATAAAGGAATAAAGACCACATCAAGAAAGTTTCTGTTTGTGTTATATTGAGGATACTACTTTATCCTTTTCTTAAAGTTACAATTACTAAATAGTTTTAAGAACATTTTAAAATTTCACAAAATTTTTAATTCATTAATGATTTAGCACAGTGACTTGGAAGTAAGTTAGCATTACAATTATTTATTTGAAATTATTTTTATACATTTTCATAAGTAGATTTTCCATTGACTGAATATAGTGAATTAAGAGTTAAGTATTAGTAACTTTGTAAAAGGAATGCATTAAGAGCTTTATGTATCATAAGTATTTTCTCTAAAAATCTTTTGTGCCTTTTAAAACATTTTCTATAGCTTTATGTATAAATTTAGATGTGTAAATGGAAATAGATTTTAAGGGGTGTTAGTGTTCTAAAAGAATATCTGAATGTACTGTTTTTATGTATTATAGGTGTGTCCAAGAGGACAGAGAACAAATGCACAGAAATACTGTCAGCCGTGCACAGGTTCTCCAGAACTTTACGATTGGCTGTATCTTGGATTTATGGCTATGCTTCCTCTTGTTTTGCACTGGTTCTTCATAGAATGGTACTCAGGGAAAAAGAGGTCAGCACTTTCTGTGAATCTCTCTGGGTGGGCTGCTGTTAGAATAATTACCACTTAGAAGACCTTATAAGTAGTTCAGTTTCTTGGCTTGTTTTAAGTGTAGTAAGGATATTTTTCTTTATATTCTGTTTATTTTTCACTCTAGTAAGAAAACCTAATACTAGGGCATTGTTCCAAAATTAAAATGAATAAGAGACTTCCCCTGTGTGTGTTTTACTCTAAATGATCTTAAAGAAATGTTTTTCTTTTTGTCATTTGTGGTCCCTATTAATTTTTTTTGGAGGAAATGATACTACTACAAACTGTTTATCATTTTAGAAAAAGTCTTTTGTCAGTTAATGTAATACTGAAGAAACAAATTGATCAATGAGATGAAGATCTGAAATGTAAGATTTGCTGGTGATATGAATGGAAGTGGTCTAGTATAGTGAAAGTGTGGGTTACACATATAAGAGCATTTGGAAAAAAAGACCAAAATATGAAAGGTTTTGATAAGGATGTGAACTTTATTCCATTGGATTTGAGTAAAAGGGTTCTGGGGGCTGGTTCACAGTGAATTTATGTGTTGGGGCAGCTAACCAGAAAGTTATGTTTCAAGTCCACACCTATTTCATGGAATAAAGATAATCAGTCTCCACCCTTAGAAATTTCCAACCTTACAAACCTTGTGGAGGGTCACCATGAGTTGAAATAAATTCGAAAACAGTGGGCTTGGGTTAGGTTGGCTTTGGTATTCAGCTCTAGTACATTTCAGCCTCATTGGTATTCTTTTAGTTATCTCAGTTTCTCAGAAAATTAAGGAAATCAAATGTAAAAAGATAAAATTGACTGTAGGTTTTTTAAAAAAAATACACAGACACAAGAAGAAAAGTGTTTCCCCAGTAGAATAAATAACAAGAAATTCACACCTGAAGCATCACTGTTAAATTAAAGAACACCAAAGAAAAAGAGAAGCTCTATGAAAAATGATGACTATGCTCCCATCATCAGCCCCAGCTGAAGTCCTTGCATTTCCTCCTGCCATTTGACAGAAATCTCTTGAATGTTTCAGCCTTGAATTGCTGTTGAATAGCATCCAAATCAGCATTACATGGAGCAGAAAGGACTTCCAGCTGACCAGTCACACCTTAGATTCCCTGTGAGATAAAACCTACAATTGTTTCAAGCCACTAAGTTTTAAGATATTTGTTTGACAATGTTAGATAATATCTACGCATAAATTAGATACCAGTAAAGAGATTGGCTCTAAAACAGGTATTTTTAAAAGTTATATTTCCTCTATTACTGAGAAGTAGTAACCATATAGGCATTGAAATAAACCCAAATAAGATACATATTGTTGTTAGATATAGTTAAATCCGAACCAACTCATAATTGGCTCTCCAGTGAGTTTTCAGAGGCATGGGAAGAGATTGTCCATCTTTCTTAACCACATGCTTTTGGAGTGACAGCATAACTTCTTACTATTAAGCCACCAGAGCTCTCTAAGATAATATATAGGGTGAGCAGAAGAGGAAGACCTTGGAGGAGATGGATTGACATTGCCTATGGCAGTGGGGTCAGGTGTATCAGAGGTCCCAAGCTTGGCTCAGGATAGGACAAGGTTCAGAGCCATTGTTCATAGGGTCGCTGTGGATTAAGGTCCACTCTAAAGCACACAATAACATACAACATCATGACTGGAGAACCCAGGCGGCATAATGGCAAGAAGCTGTGGTGCATTCCCAGAGGCAATTGTTTGAACCTACTAGCTGCTCTGCTGGAGAGGGATGGACAAATCTCCTGTGCAGCCTCCAAAAACCTGCTGGAGGGTCAGCTATGAGTCTGTTCTCACTTGAAGGTGTACAACACCACCACCACTACCAGGAAAGCCTACGATTAAAAAACTTAATCCCTTTTAAATTGGTGTGTGTGTGTGTGTGTGTGTGTGTGTGTGTGTGTGTGTGTGTGTGTGTGTATTTATTTATTTATTTATATTTTATGGAACTTGACAGCATAGTTTTCAAATTTAAATGGAAGAGCGACAAGTCAATGATAGCCGAATTTTCCATAGGAGGAGAATGTACAGATTATCATGTATAATTATTTAGCTGTCTCAGGAATAAGTGGACCCTAGGAACAAAATATCCTAAAAATAGACCACACTATGTATGAAGCTCTGTGGCAGGAGTGGCATGCTAAATCAGTTGAGACTAGGTGGTGATTATTCTCTAAAGTGTTGCTGGACCAACTGAGTACCAAAGTTAGAAAAAGTCTAACATTAGATTTTACTGTATGTACAGATACCTATTCCAGAAGAATTAAAAATTTAGATGTGAAATGCAAAACCTTAAATCCTCTGTAAGAAACTACTGTCTTATGCCATCAAATTAGAACTGACTCAAGACTGACCCTCCAGCCAGGTTTTCAGAGGCTGTAAATTATGTGAGAAGATTACTCTTTTTTCTCTTACAGAATAACTTGTGAATTCGGACTGCCTGCCTTTGGGTTGACAGCCCAACTCATTACCCTCTTGGCCACCATAATTCCCTTCTTAAGAGAATATGTAGTAATAGGCTTGTCGTGGGGTGATGAATAGTTTCTTAAGAAAAACATTAAAATTTCTTATTAGAAATTAAAAAGTAAAAAAATCAGTCATAGTAAAATTTAGGAAACCTGTTCATAAAAAGACAATCATAAATAAAATTTAGTATAATGAATACTTTAAAGGAGAAGACAAGGATATAGGGAGGGGAGAAACACATAGGTAGATACAAGTTATTTGTAATGCTCTGCTTATTGGGTTAGGTGGTAAATGTTCAGTAAATATTTTAAAGCATGTAATCTTCTATGTATTCTTATCTTTTAAGAGAATTCAAAAATATGATACACTAAGATGTTTCTATTAGTAATTTATCAAGATACTACAGAGAAGCTCTCATTTAGATAATAGTTTTACACTCCTAAAAAGTAGTTTTCACCTGTTGGATTCTTTTATTTTATTATTTTTGTGTGTGTGTGCCATCAAATCAGATCAGACTGGTACAGGAGGAGGTTGCCCCTCCTTCTCCAGCAGAGCATCTGGTGGATTTGAACCATCTGTTGGCTTTTCTTATCTGTTAAGATTTTTTTACGCTTTAAGGTGTTTTTTGTTTGTTTGTTTGTTTATCATTTTCTTAGAACCAAGATCTTGAGCCAGAAACACCAGTTTAGGTGTTGAAGTTGAATTGTAATTGTTCTTCTTGCATTTTTTTTCTAGTTCCAGTGCACTTTTCCAGCATATCACTGCGTTGTTTGAATGCAGCATGGCAGCTATTATCACCTTACTTGTGAGTGATCCAGTTGGTGTTCTTCATATCCGTTCATGTCGAGTACTGATGCTGTCTGATTGGTACACAATGCTTTACAACCCAAGTCCAGATTATATTACCACTGTCCACTGTACTCATGAAGCTGTCTACCCACTGTAAGTAACTAGAATTAAGATAGCTTAGAAAAACAAACCTGTGAAGGTTACTAAGATTTTATTTATTTGAATAGATTAAGCATTATAAAGTAGCTTCTAGGTACTAGCGGAAATACATGATTTTCTTCTCTTCAGAGAGTAATCTAATGAGAGAAAGTAGAAATCTTACTATCATAGAAATTAAAATTTTTTGCATTGATGTTGAAATGTGTAAGCTTCTAAAATAAAGCAGCATATTTCTTTTAGAGGCTATGTGAATTTTTAAAATAACATTTGGAAGGAAATCCTTTTTGATTTGTAGCAGAGATTTAGTATCTGCCATATAACAAAGAATAAAGAGTTTTGGGGGCAAAAATAGACTTGCATTTGAATCCTAGCTGGTCAGTTAATATGTTAATTTGAGCATATTATAGATATAGATATTGATAAAATGGAAATAATGATACCTTATAAAGTGATTGTGAGGAGTACATTAATCATATGTCACATACCATGAGAAGTGGCTTTCCTAAAAGAACCATTTAATAATAGTTGGCATTAGAGTGCTTGGGTTCTTATTTTTCTTTAAAAAAATGTGATGTTTATCAAGATCTTTTGTTTTGAAAATAACTAATTCATAAAACTGTATAATATTACCCTAGATAATTTCATTTCGATGTGGTTTGCTTGATAAAGGTGTAATAAGAAAGTGTGAGGTTTATATTTTCATAGTTAGAGCAAGTTTTCATTATGTAATATGCTCAGTGAATTTTGTCTTTTTTTGAGCAAGATTTTTAATAGTAAAGAAAGTATAAGGACCGTACACATGTGTAAAAAGGTAATTTTTTTAAAAACGAAATATGCAAATATGAAACTATTCTCTCCTAGCCTTTAAACCTTGCAAATTATTTCATACACACAAAAATACATTTACATTGAATATACATGTACAACTATAATTTGTATATAAAAGAGCATACAAAACCTGATAAATTCCTCTTCATTGATTTCATACAGTTGTAACTTTGGTCATAAGTGGTCTTGGGAACGTTCAGAATTTTAACATGGTGTTCTATAGAGGACTTAATAAGTGAACCAGTTACCTTCCTTAAGTAAGATACATGTTGACCTTCATGTATTTACTTCTAATACACGTGTGTGTGTGTCTGTGTATTTTTATACTGTCATACAAGGAGCAGTGTTGGCTAGTGGTAAAGAGTTGCCCTGCCAACCTAAAGGCAGACAGTATGATATGTCAGCTGCTTTGAGGGAAGAAGACAGACAGTCTTCTCCTGTGCAGCCATGGCTGGAGGATCAGCTGTAAGTCAGTTACAACTCAGTGACACATAACAACTATGATATCGTGTCATTAAAGCCTGTAGTAGGGGACCAGAAAATCAGAGATTAGAATTAGAACAAATTACAGACATGTAGGTCCTCCTTCTCCTCTCATTTTGCACCCTTGATAGCACCTCTAGTTAAGTTACCATAAATTCTGTCATCATTTTCTAAATCCATTGTTCAATATAATAAAACAAAGCAGGCTATTCCACAGTGACTATTCGTAAAACTATGGGGGGAAGGTGTGTGTGTGTTCCACTTAATTCAGATATTGTGAATAGAAGAAGAATATTCTAATCAATGAAGTCAGGTGATGATTGTGACTGAGAGAACTACATCTGACTTTTTCCTGCTAAGTTAGGTTGGCAGTATATCTCCATCCGTCAAGAAAACCATGACTAACATTGTTCTGTCTAGCTGCATATCCTCACATGTGATTCCTGACTCTGAAAACCTGCTGGAGGATCATCTCTGAGTCACTTCTAACTCAACAGCAAATAACAATAGTTTCATATCCTTATTTGTATGTATACTTTTTAAGGACTATTAAGGTTATTCTGTACACATGGCATTTTGTAACATGCTGCATAATGTACGAGGGAGGCATGGTTACTTTTATCACTAGCAATTATTTCATAACATGACTATATAGTATTTCAGAATAAGTGTATTATAAAATTTAAACATTTACTGTTGAATATTTTACTTTTCCTCCTAACTTTTCATTAATACAAAGAAAACTATTAAAAACCCCACTTGTTTGTAAGGATTTTTTTTATATTCTTATTTCACTTAGATAAAGTTATGCAAGAAAAATTACTGAATCAAAGGATATAGACATTTACAAAACTTTAAATATAGATTTTTAAACTTCCAATCTGCACTTTTCTTGGTATGCATGCAAGTATCATTTACTAACCTTATACCAGTTTGAACATTCAGAGCCTAGACTGGTAATACATGTTTTCAGCCCTTATTTAGGTTCTTCTATTAAAAAGTATTCAAGCGTAAAATGTTTTCAAATATGTTTCCTGTTTTCAGAATGTCTTACTTTATTTTACAGATACACCATTGTGTTTATCTATTATGCATTTTGCTTGGTGTTAATGATGCTGCTCAGACCTCTGCTGGTAAAGAAGATTGCTTGTGGATTAGGGAATTCTGATCGATTTAAAAGTATTTATGCTGCACTTTACTTCTTCCCAATTCTAACTGTGCTTCAAGCTGTTGGTGGAGGCCTTTTGTGTAAGTTTGATGGGTAAAGTAAATGGAATATAATTATTATTATTATAGATGGTAAGCAGCATTTCCCCTGAATTTAATTTTGGAGGATTTGCAGTTAACATTTGAAAGTAAGTCTTGGCCTATATTTTTGCTGAAACATGTTTAGCCTTATAAAAATAATCTTAGGTGTAGATAGGAGTAGTAATAATCAAGAAAGCAATGATACCTAATCAAAAGTGATTTCTACTGAGAGAATCTTTTGGGCTTGAGACACATAATGTACACAGAAAGAGCATATAATCCAAAGAGTTGAAAAAGACCCTGAGTATAAATTTAAAACCAAAATCTGGGTTTTGCATGTGATACTCATTGTGTATGTAAAGAATGCTTCTAAATGCCAAGCAAGTTACTGAATTCTTTAATAAAGTAAAATTGACTTATTTAGATAATTGGGTCTCTGATTGCTCCATGCTGAATTAACATTTTCACTTTTTTTAGGTTATATTGTAAGAGAAAGTGATTAGTAGTTTCATTAACTGAAATCACTGTAACATGTTTCCTTGAAAAGAATTCGGAAGTGTTTTCCTCGACTGGTACATTTGTGTGAGTGTATTATAAAAGGCATGCAGTTCAAATCCACGAGCTCATAGAAGAAGGATGGGCAGTCTCCTCCCATGTGATTTACTGCCTCTGAAGACCCACTCGAGTGTCAGCTCTAGGTCAATTTCGACTCGGGCACACAACAACAACAACAACAACATAAATTTTAGGATTTTTGTAGAAAAAAATTTTACCTTAAGTATTATTATTACAGCTTGTCTAAAGTAGAAATTTCATTGCAAACACTCAATGATCCATTTATCCTTTAGAGACTTATGGATATATGAATTTTTCTAAATTAATTAAAATTAGTGACTTTTATATCTTTTCTCTACTGAAGTTCCTCATCTGGAACACCAAACACAGAAAATTAGTTTCTTTTTTCAGTCCTCCAAGTTTGGAAAATAACCAAACTTTGATATTTGAAGAGAAGCTAATTCTTTATATATAGTAGATGCTTTAGGATAGGGATCTGCAGAGCTGGCTGGATTTGACATTTTTAAATGGCTGAAGCATAATATTTGGCATATAAAAGTTGTATGAAATTAAAAAATTAGAATCCATAAAGCTTTATTGGAACACAGTCACTTGCATTCTGCTTTCCACTCACAACTACAGAGTTGGATGCCCTTGTGGTAAAAGAAAGCAAGCATTGAGCTGCTAACCAAGTTGGTCACCGGTTCACAAGCACCAGCTGCTCCTAAGCAAAGTAGCAGCCCTTTGGTGTCCTAGAGGGTGTTACAAATTAGAATGGACTTTATGGCAGTGAGTGGTGGTGATTGCCCCTGTACAGAAAAGTTTGCTGACCTTTGGATATTAGGGCTTAAGTCTCTCTACAACTGAGAAAGGTTTCATATCTAAAGAGAATTTATATGCTATTTTAAGATTTTGATGGTTTCTTCAGAAGGTTTGTTTAACATGTCAACATAAGCTCAATATTTTTCTTTCAGATTATGCCTTTCCATACATTATATTAGTGTTGTCCCTGGTTACTCTGGCTGTTTATATGTCAGCTTCTGAAATAGAGGTAAGAAATAATTTTTCCTTCATTAAAATTGAATAAGAAAATAGTATATGCGATATGATACAGCTGATTGCTTTAATAGTACATCGGCTCTTTGATAAGTCAGTCGATAGCTTTTTGCTGATAAGTTTATGAAGTGTGTTGTTGTTATATGCTATGGAGTCAGAACTGATTCTTTGCTGGCCCTCCAGCAGATTTTCAGAGGCTGTAAATTGCACCAGAAGAGATAGCCTATTTTTCTCCTGCAGAGCACCTGGTGGATTTGAACTGTGTGCTTTTGTATTGGCACTGCAACTCCTTACCCACCCATTAGCTCACCAGAGCTTCAGTTATGAAATAGGATGTTGTTGTTATGTACCTAAAGTCACGACCAACCCATAGCCGACCGTTTAGGTTTTCAAAGGCATTGATTGCATGGGAGGAAATTACCCATCTTTCTCCTGTGAAGCAGCTGGTGGAGTCAAACCATAGAGCTTTGCCGTGGCAGCACAATTCCTTACCACTAAGCCCCCAGAGCTCAATGAAATGTGTAGCGTTCTGTATATATCGCTTAGAAAATTATTAAATTAGTTGGACTCAATACTTTCATGGTAGAGAAAATTTATTTCACATAATATTCCCATAAAGCAAACACTGAATTACTGAAATGATGAAACTTATTAACACTAGTCTTTTGGGAAATATAAAATTAATGTTTTATAATGACAATATTAACAGCCTTCAATAATTGTGTATTCCAGTACCTTTCAATATTTTATCTTCTAGGTATGTTTTCTTCACTATGGATGTTTATATTTGCCCTCTAATTTTCATAATACTGCTTTCTCTAACTTTGCAGTCTTTCAGTAGAAGGCTACTGTTTTATTAAACTGCTAAAGGAATGAAAATGTGAAGTGTCATAACGATTATGCTTGCTAATCTAGCACGAATGAACTGTCTTATTAAATTGTTCTCAGCAGTTAATACATGCTTTCTTATAGCTCATTATATAAAGAGAGCTCAGTCTACAGAAAATGAGTTGTAATATATTTGGATTGATTTCTTTTGGTATCATTTTTTTGTATTACATATTAGGAAAAGTTAGGGGAGAAAAAAAATCTAGAATTCCTAGTGAGTTTTAGATAGGATAGTAGTAGATGAACTAAAGAATATTTTTATTGTGAATATTCACGTTTCCAGTTGTACTATCCTTGTTTCTCAATGATCTTAATCACTCTGTTATAATTAAAGATCAATGAATTAGTTTTTTATATAACCTCTTCTATGGAAAAATTGTTAGACTAAAAACCCATTTTTAAATTTTCATTTGCTGTCCATAACTATTCTGAATAATTTAGATTTTCCACGGAGCCCTAGTGCCACAGTGGTTAAAGTATTTGGCTGCTTACTAAAAGGTCAGCTATTCAAACCTACCGGCTGCTCCCTAGGAGAAAAATATGGTAGTCAGCTTCCATATAAACTTATAGCCCTGACAGTATGTACTAAGGGAAGGAGCAGCACAATATCACTAAAGAAAGGGAAGACATGGAGAGCTGCATAGGAAATGTAGCCAACAAAAATAAACATCATTACCACCACAGTAATGCCGTGTCAGTAATAATAGCATTATTCTGCAAGTGAATATATGTGTAGATAAAGACCAACAAGTACGGACAGCAGGGCCAGCAGGGGCAAAATTATGTACATTTGTTAATCATGACCAAATAAGCTGAGAGAGTGAGTTGCTGGTCTTAGGGCTTGGTCCCCAAGACTTCCTGGGAGGCATCTGAATCAGTTGATAAAACATAGTCCACAAAGATAGTCAGTGTTCTGCATTTTACTTTGGTGAGTACCAGTTTAGGTCTTAAAAGTTGTGAGCAGCCATCAAAGGTTCATACTGGAATGGTAAGGGTTAAGGAAAATGGGTTTGGGTTTCTCCTATTTCTTACCTATGGACATAGAGCTTTTGAGAAGTGAATGGTGATAGAGTCTAGACCAAGACTTGAGACATAGGCCCATGTTTTAGCACTGCTACTGAATGCTTTAAAAGATTATGGGGGAACCTCCGTTTTCTCATCTTTGAAATGTGTGGCTAGACTGTTTTGTAAGGTCCCTTTTAGCTCATTTTATGATTCTAAGCTTGTGGTCCTGTGTGAAAACAAGTAGTATTTTGAATTAGATGTGTAATAGACAGCCGCTTCAGTCTGGTAATGTTCTCTCTCTTTTCTAAAATTTTATAGAATTGCTATGACCTTTTGGTCAGAAAGAAAAGACTTATTGTTCTCTTCAGCCACTGGTTACTTCATGCCTATGGGATCATCTCCATTTCCAGAGTGGATAAACTACAGCAAGACTTACCCCTCTTGGCTTTGGTACCTACACCAGCCCTCTTTTACTTGTTCACTGCAAAATTTACAGAACCGTCACGGATACTCTCAGAAGGAGCCAATGGACACTGAATGTAAAATGCCAAATATCCAAGATGGATCTTAGTGAAAAATGTAAAGAAATTTAAAACACTAAAGTGTTAGTACTGCCACACATGAAGAAGAGTGTCAGCACATTTGAGTATCTTTTGACTGTACAGACTTTATGGTTAGACTTGCAAAGTACAAAATGCCATAATACTCTGTTCCATGCTTGTTTTCCTGCTAGAAGCCCTCTGAAAAAGCACTTGTCTCTCAAAACTTCAGTTCTTTCTTAGAGCAAAATAGTGTTTCCGTGTATCTAGCAGTATATAGTGTGCTTTCTCTCTTTTTAAATTATGGAAAACTTTGTTATCTGGAATCAGCAGTGGCATAATGGTGCATGCCTGTTGTGTTTCATTTTGCTTCTCGCCTGTAATAAATTATGAAGCATATAAGGAGGTCTGATTGTAAACGTAGAAATAAAGCATACTGGTTTTATTTATTTTCACCAATACAGTATTTTGGTTTGTTATGAAAATAGAACATGATTTCTATATAACAATTTTTCTGTTTATATAATTTGAAGACATGAGATTATTGTACCTGCCAAAAAAATAAAAATAACAGTTTATTAAAAAAAATCTAAGTGTTCTAACATTTGGTTATGCTGTACTAATTTTTTCGGTCTTTCACTCAAAGTGTCGCTATGAGTCCTCTACGACCGAGTCGTCTATGACTCAGCAGCATTTAACAACAATAGGGTCGCTATGAGTTGCAAACAGCTCGACAGCACATAACAACAACAATTCAGGAAAACAAAGTGATACCTCTTTCCAAAATTAATTAAATATATGTATTCCCCCTTCCTCTTGCATCTCATTTTTGACAAATTTATATACTTGCTTTGTTTTATGACACTGACACATACACATCCTCATCCTCCATTTCTTTTTCAAATTGTGATAGCTGTTAATTAAGATGCATCTTTTATTTGAAAATGTCTTCTACTTAATGAACTACCAAACAGATACAGTTTATAAACAGCTTTCCTGTGGTTATTGTTGTTACATGTGTTGTAGTTTTTAATCCTTTGAAGGTTTTAAGCAACTCATGGTCTAACAATGGAAACAAAATAATCTTCTTAGCACTTAATGTAATAAATGATGTTTATTTTTATTGCTTAAGTGGGTTATTTTGTGTTATTTGGGAGTAGGGGTTGAGAAAAAAACATTAAATTGCAAACTATTAATACTTCTGTTAACAATTGCACTATGAAAAAAAATGCACTCACTTTTTCTATTGTTTAGTTTATGCCTTTTGAATTCATAGCAGTTGCATTCTTTAAGTTGTTAATGACATATTTTGTTTCTCAGATTGTATTCAGATGTTGGTAATTGAGGTCTTTTAGTATGTTTCTTTTTTTCTGTAAGGGTAAGAATAATATGTAAAAGTTCTGCTTACTGCTTGTGTGCACTGAAATTCTGTGTTGCCTAAAGAATCCTTGGCTTTATAATCACATAATCTGGGACAATGAGAAAGAATGTGTTTCTCATTACCAGTCTCGAAAGGAGTACAGTTGAAAGACTCATGCTCACAAACTTTGGAGGGACTAGTCCCTGGAGAAGGACATAATGTTCAATGAGAAAGATCAGTGAAAAAGATCCCCGATGAGATGGATTGACAGTGGCTACAGTTAAGAGCTCAGACAGCAAGGCTTGTGAGGACTGTGAAGGAGCGGACTGTGTTTTGTTTGGTTGTGCATAGGTCACTATGAGTCAGAATGAATCGACAGCTCTTAGCTGTCTTCCATATTTGTTGACAGAGACTGGGAAGCATGTCCATGGCTGCATCTGTTTGCTAAAATGCCCTCCATTGAAATCCCATCAATTCCTGGAATCCTGTTTTCTTGGTAGTGCCTTTGGTGCAGTTTGGACTTCCTCCTTTAGTTCTATTGGTTCTTGGTAAAGTGCTACTTTCTGGTTCCATGTTGACGAGTTGTTTTGGTACAGTGCCTCAGTATTCTTTCCATCATCTTTTTTATGTTTTGCTGCATCATTTAAGATTTTGTTGCCCATAGAATCTTTTCACTGTTGCAGTTCAAGGCTGGGGTTGGTTCTTCAGTCTTTCTGCTTTCCAGTTCAAATCTGGCATGTCACAATTTGACCAATCAACAAGGGGGAAACTTCCTCACCACAGGGCCAGTAGGCAAGAAATGAAAAGGTATGTTTATTGGGGAAATCTGCTATCAAAGACCTCTCCAAAGTTCTAGTGAGCAAGGCTGTCAGTTTTACGATGCACGATCCAAATCATTATATTTTCAGTTGTTTCCTATGGCTCTGAAAGTTGGACAACAAATAAAGAAGAATGGAGAAGAATTGATGTCTTTAAATTGTACTGGGGAAGAATATTGAAGGAGAGGGCGACCCTCAACCAGGTGGTTTGATACGATGACTGCCACAATGGACTCTTCTATGTCAGGAAGTGTGAGGATGGCACAGGATAGAACAGTGTTCGGATCTTTTGTTCATAGGGTCACTATGAGTCATGCTCAACAGCATCTAACAAACAAGAAGAAGATTCTAGGCATTAGTAAGTTGTGATGGATTAGCTTTGGCCACTTTGAATCAACCAATCACATGATATACTATGCTGGGATTGAAAAACAGAAGAATGGTGTTACATTTGTAGCCAAAAAAAAATCAATTTTAGTTCTATCTTGAAGTGCAATGTTCTGAGTGATAGGATATTATTCATAAGAGAACAAGGAACACTTGTTAATACAGCTATTATTCAAATACACACTCCTACAACTTGAGCTAAAGAGGAGGGAATTGAGAATTTTTACAGTCCAATTTTACAAAATTATTTTGCAGTCTGAAATCAACCATGCATTCAAGATGCATTGATGATAATTGTTTACTAGAAAGCAGAGTTGGAAATATGAAAAAGGAATAGTAGTCAAAAGGATAGATTTGGTGACAGAAATGAGGCTGGAAATGGAACGATCAAATTTTGTATTTTCAATTATTTGTTCATTGCAAATGCCTTTAAAAAAACCACAAATGGTGACTTTACACATGGACCTCACCTGATGGACTACAAAGGAATCAGATCAACTACATGTGTGAAAGGAATCATTAGAGAAGCTCAATATCAGCACTCAAAACTAGGCCACGGGTTGTGAGTCAGACCATCAGTTACTCATGTGTAAGTTAAAATTGAGGCCAAAGAAAATGAAAACAAGTCCATGAGAACAAAAATGTGATCTTGAATATATTCCATCTGAATTTCAAAATTATCTTAAGAATAGGTTTGAAGCGTCTGTTAATGGTAAAATGTTACTTAATGTCTGTTTTTAAAACATGGCATGTATTTAATAATTTTACCAAAGTATTGTCATGAAATATATATAATTTTCTTACATCTTAAAAAAAAAAAAAGAATAGATTTGAAGCATTGAACACCAATGACTGAAGACCATTTGAGTTGTAGGATGACATCAAGGATAACATTTGTGAAGAGAGGAAAGGTCATTAGAAAGTCAGAGGAGAAAGAAAAACTGAAATGGGTGTCAGAAGAGACTGAAAATAGCACTGAAGCATGGAGAAACCAAAACAGAAAGAAAACATGCAGAAGTAAAAGAGCTAAACAGATTTCATAGGGCATTGAGAAAACAAAGCAGAGTATTATAATGGAATGTGCAGAGAGCTGGAATTAGAGAATAAAAAGGGAACACACTCTATTTCTTAAACTGAGAGAATTAAAAATACAAATTTAAGCCACAAGTCACAATATTGAAGGATGCTATGGGCAGTATGCTGAATGACCCAGGAAGCACCAAAAGAAGTTGGAGTGACTCACTACCAAAAATAACTGACACTGAAACATTTCAGGAAATAACGTGAGCAGGAGCTAATGGTAATGAATGAGGAAGTTGGAGCCGCACTGAAGGCATTGGTAAAAAACTACGGTCCCAGGAATCAGTAAGATACAAATTGACTTATTTCAATTAACAGATGCTGCTCTATTCACCAGTGTATGTCAGGACATTTGGAGGACAGCTGTCTGACTAATGGATTGGAAGAGGTCCACATTGTTCCCATTCCCAAGAAAGGTAATACAACAGAATGTTGAAACTATAAAACAATATCATTACTGTCACATACACGCAAAATACTGTTGTGTGAACAGAGCAAAGGGAAATGACAGGTTTAAAACTAAGAGGGGCATGTGTCAGGGTTGTGTTCTCTTTGCATACCTATTCAGTCTGTATGCTGTGCAAATTATTTGAGAAACTCAACTGTATGAAGCAGAATGTGGCAACAAAATTGGAGGAAGACATCCATAACTTGAGCTATGCAGATGACACAACTCTTCTTGCTGAAAGTGAGGAGCACTAGAAGTACTTGTTGCAGAAGATCAAAGTATACAGCCTTCAGTATGTCAACATTAAGAAAATAAAAATTTTTACCACTGGAGTGCTAGGCAACGTAATGATAGATGGAGAAAACATTGAAACTTTCAACAATTTCATCTTACTTGGACCCACAATTAACACCCTTTGTCCCAGCAGTCAGGAAATTAGGAGACACATTGCACTGGGAGAGTACAGTCAGGGACCTCTCCAAATTATTGAGAAGCAATGATGTCAGTTAAAGGACTAAAGTGTATCTGATTCAGGCCATTGTCTTTCCTGTCACTTGCTATGAATCTGAGAGCTGGATAATGAATAAAGATGACATAAGAAGTAAATGCCTTTGAGCTGTAGTGCTGGAGAAGTGTGCTGAATACATCTTGGAGAAGGTGCAGCCACAGTGCTTCTTGGAGGCAAAGATGATAAAGCTTTGTTTCACATACTTTGGGGTAGATGTTGCTGTTCCTTGGAAATGGACATCATGCTTGGAAAGGCAGAGGGTCAATGAAGGACAGGAAGACCAGGTAGATTGACACAGTAGCTGCCACAATGGGCTCTAGTGTATCAGAAAGTGTAAGGATGGCACAGGATAGGACAAGGCTCAGATCTGTTGTTCATAGGGTCGCTGTGGGTCATACTTGACTCAACAGCACCTAACAACAGCATTTTCCAATATTTTATTTATAGAC